TCTCTGAAGCCGTGCTGCTTAAAGTAAGATTTGAAGGATGAATAAGGGTTGACCAGGAAAAAAGGGAGGTAAGAACATCCCATATAGATAGAATAGCATGTGCTAAGATCCTGCAGCAGAAGGGAGCCTGGCAAGTACAAGGAACTGAACAAAGGCCAATGCTGCTAGGGTGGCAAATGAAGAAGCAACTAGTTTCAGAAGAGACTGGAAAGCCCATGGGACCACACCATGCAGGGGCTCACAGGTCTTTTAAGAAGCTCTGTCTTTCCACTTGGCACAAAGGGAAGGGCCTTGAATGGTTTCACTCAGATTAAAAATAAAACTGAAATTAAGGGGTGCCTGGGTGGCTCAGTTGTTTAAGCGTCTGCCTTCATCTCAGGCATGATCTCAAGGTCCTGGGATCAAACCCCATGTCGGGCTCTATCTAATGGTCCTGGGATTGAGGTCCACATCGGGCTGCCTGCTCAGGAGGGGAGCCTGCTTCTCCCTCTCCCCGCTGCTCGGGCTCTCTCTCTCTCTCAAATAAATAAATAAAATCTTTAAAAAAAATTTTTTTTAAATAAAATCAAACTAAAATTAAAAGATTGCTCTGGCGGCAGTGGGGGAATAAATTAAAGTGTGCTACAATGGATGTGTGTACAGTAACAAAGACTTTGTTGTTGTCTAAACAAGAGGTGATATTAATTTGAGGTAGACTGAAGAGGCATAGTAGAGGAATAAAAAGGTAGATGGATTTGAAAGAGATTTAGAAGACATATGGAAAAGCGGTGGCGATGCATTACACATGGTGGGTAAGGGAGTGAGAGGTGTCAAGAATGACTCCTTCTTCTGTCTTGACTCATGGAGGGATTGTGGTGCTCTTCCCTCAAACAGAGAATGCTGGAAGATGATCAGGTCTGTGAGGGGGAGAGTAGGAGTTTGTCTTTGGAGATGATGAGTTCCTTTTGAAATTCTCTTTCCTGACTTCTATCACACTATTTTTGGGAGTTCCCATTTCTTTTTCTCAGCCACTGCCTTCCTCAACTCCCCACAAGACATTTGTGTGTTCTACTCCCACCCCACTTAATTGTTGGTACTCTCCATGGTTCTGACCTAAGCCTCTGGCCTCCTCAAACACTGTTCAATACAGTAGCCACATGTGATTACTGAGCCCTTGAAATGTGGCTAGTCTAAATGGAGATGTGCTATAATTGTTAAATACACATAGGATTTCAAAGACATGTGTTAAATAATAAATAAAATCATTAATAAGATTTTTATATTATATATTGAAATGATAATATTTTAGATATATTAAGTAAAATATGTTATTACTTTCTTAATGTGGCTACTAGAAAATTTAAAATTACATATGTGGCTCATTGTATATTTCTAGTGGATGGTGCTGCTCTAGACAGTGACTCTATTGTCGCCTTATTCTTGTCCACTTGAGCCCACAGAGCTGCTTATTGTCCCCAGAAATTTTCACATCATTTTATGCTTCATACTCTTTCCTTTTCCTGAGCTTTTGTTCCTCTTCTTTTCTACCAGATTAGATATGATTTCTACTTTTTTTGTTCAGAGCAAATATCTCCTCTACTATACGAAACTTTTCCAGTTCCTTAAGGTAGAATCAAACATTTCTGCCTCTGAGTCTTACATCCTCTCTTAATATCTTTATTATAGCTAATTCACATGCTTGTATTTTCTTTTATATTCATTTATCTCTCCAGCCAGATTGTAAGTGTCTACAAAGTGCAGGTGTAATCTGGTTTATGTCTATAATTATGTAACTGGGTACTCAGTGCCAGGGTGGTGCTCAATGAAAGTCTAGTGAATAACAATTGAATCTACACATATTAAACAGCTATCATGTGACTACTTGTGACTTAGATGTTTTATAGACAATATCTTGCATCCTCTCAGCAGCCCTGCAAGGTAGATATAATTATCCTCATTTTGCATATGGGGATCTTGCAAAAGCTCAAACTGTTAGTAAATTATAGAGCCAGGATTCAACTAGATTGAATGAAAAAAAGCCATTTTCTTTTTCTGATTCTGTGCATGCTGAAAAATGGATTAAAAAGTGGTGATTACATCCCACATCATAAAATAGGGAAAAAAATACCCATTCCCTAAGATTATTAGAAGATTAAGTGACATAATGTATATAAAGTGTCAGGGCAGTGCTTGGAAATACTAGGTTTTATTAGACATTGGTTTCCTTCAATGTTGAGACCCATAGCATAGGCATCCTTAATTTCTGAGGAAATGGTGGTTTTCCTAACTTCCTCAATGTCCCTACGTATTCTTATACTCATTTGGAGGTCATGAGAAACAGACCCCCCCAGGGCCATCCACTTTAACTCAGTCCTCTTTGGCTATGCCTCTGATGGTTAAAGAAAGTGAAGTAGAGAAATAACAAGTAGCACTAGGGCCATTCAACCTCTCTCTGTGTGCTTTTGCTTCCTGGTGAATGTTGGGGTAGGAATAATGGGCTATGTGGCCTTGGTGAACTTCCAAAAAATCATTGTGAGTAGAGTGCTGATTCTTCTCTTCCTGTTCTGTCTTACCCAGTGATGGTATGTTACAATCAAGACCATTTCCTTTACCATCTGGGGAATCTTTGTAGGAAAGGGAAAAGAGAAATATGAATGGGATAAACATTAATTGTAGGCCAATGTGATCTGTAGGCCTTATGTTGAGATGCTAAGCTCCTTAGAAATAAATTTAAACAACTGAAAGGTAAAGATATGTTACTACTGAGCTGTGCTGAGGTAAGGGAAAGTGATCCCTCTATAACCTTCAGATCGCTGTACCTTCTCTAAAAAAAGCAGTATTGAGAAATTGCACAGTGACTATTGGTGCTTGACCAAAGCTAAAGGAAGCTCATGGATTTAAGGGTAAGACAGTTGCTTTGGAAGCTCATGGGTTTGAGAGCAAGACAACTGCTTCTCCTATTGATTTTCCTGATTCACATATTTCAAGTTAACAGGAGAACCAATTCCTTGTCCTCATATAGAGGAAACCTTCTTACCAACCTGTGCTCTTGTTTGTTTTAGATCAAACATACAGAAAAGTACAAGTAGGGCAGAGCTTCCACTACTTAAAAAACTCGAGGTGCCTGGGTGGCTCAGCTGTTAAGCGTCTGCCTTCGGCTCAGGTCATGATCCCAGTGTCCTGGGATGGAGCCCCGCATCGGGCTCCCTGCTCCGCGGGAATCCTGCTTCTCCCTCTCCCACTCCCCCTGCTAGTGTTCCCTCTCTCGCTGTGTCTCTCTGTCAAATAAGTAAATAAAATCTTAAAAAACAAAACAAAACTCAAATTCTCCTTCAAATATATACTATGTATATATAACATAATATTTAAAAACCTTCTGATCCATTACAGAACTAAATAATATAAAAGGGGCAGGGAATGAATAGAATAAGGAACTTAGGGTCTTATGTTATTATTATTTTAATGGTGTGTTTTATCTCTTTAACTAGTCCTTTGAGGTTAGGGACAATGTCGTAAACTTCTCTGTATTTACTTCATTACTGCCCACAGAGTAAGTGCTTGGTGTTCCTTTGCTGAGCGATGGAAACCATCACCCACACGCAGTATAACTGACAAGACTGTGGCACAGAAAGTTGTAAGGAAAAGTTTCTTGGAAGTGAAAATTTGGAATCTAAATTAAGAAACTGAATATTCTCTAGCACTTAAACTTTGAGATCAAGAAAACAGTTTCACATCTGGGAGAACCTTTATGTCTGATGTTATCTGTGGAGAAATCCTGTGGCCAAGAACACGTGACACATAAGAAGGGCAATTATCTGGCTACTCCAGAAAATTTAATATACATAGAAAAATAAGTACAACTTTGAATTTTAAAGGGAAAATTCAAGTTGATTTATCTGCCATATTGACTTATACTTAAAAGAATGAACTGAAGTTACCTTTAGATCCAATCCACTCAAATGCCAAGGCATCCTAAACTCTCACAATTAACTGATTTTGAGACAGGTTTTCTTTGTTATGATTTTAGGGAGCTGATTTGACTCTGCCCCTTCTTCTTGTCACCTCTTTCCCCCTTTGCAATTGATCAAAGTCCACAGACTTCCTTAAAGTAATGCCCCTACCATATCAATAGGACATTACTTTCTTTTTTTTTTAAAGATGTTATTTATTTATTTGAGAGAGAGAATGAGATAGAGAGAGCATGAGAGGGGGGAGGGGCAGAGGGAGAAGCAGACTCCCCGCTGAGCAGGGAGCCCGATGCGGGACTCGATCCCAGGACTCCGGGACCATGACCTGAGCCGAAGGCAGACGCTTAACCAACTGAGCCACCCAGGCGCCCAGGACATTACTTTCATTACTAAGAGTCCTCTTCAAAATCACAAGCCTCCAGGGAAAATTGAGCTTTAACTTTGGTGAAAATTCTTTTGTTCCACTCAATCTGGAGAAGGTTTGTCTCAACTTCTTGTCCCATTTTACTGTTGATTAATACAAGGATGAAGAGAAGAGAGAAATCTATAAGTTGGATGAAATTTTATTTATTTATTTATTTATTTTAAAGATTTTATTTATTTATTCATGAGAGACAGAGAGAGAGAGAGGCAGAGGCAGAGGGAGAAGCAGGCTCCCCGCAGAGCAGGGAGCCTGATGCGGGACTCGATCCCAGGACCCTGGGATCATGACCTGAGCCGAAGGCAGACGCTTAACCGACTGAGCCACCCAGGCGTCCCTGGATGAAATTTTAAATACCAAGGATTCATTAACTCAAACACAAGAGTATTCAGAAATCTTCCCTCACATAAATTAGAGGTATGTGTGTACATAAAGAACTAGAAGGAAATGCACCAGAAATTAGTAGTAGGTTTATCCGAGGCGCGATTATTGCTAATTGAAAATTTTCTTTATGTGCATGCTTTTCAATATGTGGCAAAATTTCTATAATGAAGATACAGTATTTTGGTAAACAGAAAAAAAAAAGAAATTATAATCAATAGCCACTCTCCTTTCCCCTACCTATATGCCGCATGACTGGAAATTTGAGAAACCTGCAGAGCCGTGTACCTGCGGGTGATAGTGAGGTGTGAGTTTGGGCAGGCCCCTCTTTGGGACTCTGGTTCCTCACCTGTGAAATGTAGAAATTTGAGTGCCTCAGTCTCATTTAGTTCTGTGATGCTTGAATTCTAGGATGGGCCTGCCACATAGCAGACTATTAACTGAAAATGCTTCTGGCTTCTAGTAACGGACATTTTGATTAATTGTGGCTTACACCATAAGAATTCTTGTGTTTAGTAAACAGAAGGTTTGAAGGTAGGTAGCTCAATGAGGTTTTGTTTGATCAAGTTCAGTGAGGTTTTCCAGGAGCTAGGGCACTTCAAAATATTTTTCTGTATCATCCTCTTCAATGGTTGGCTTTCATCTGAGAGACTGTTACCTCGTGGTTACAAGATAGCTATCATATCTCCAACTAGGAAAGAAGAGGCAGAGGCAAAAGCTTTCTCTTTGCACCTAATAACTTCCCCATATCTCATTTGTTGGAACTAAGCCAAAGGGCCAACCAGTGGCAAAGAGATTCTAGACTTGCATTGAACCAATTCATCCTACAGCCCTGAGTGTAAAGAATAGCTTTTCATTGACATGAGCAGTTCAAAGTTCTAATAGCAGGGAAGGAAAGAGGAAAGGGAATGGTTATTGGGTAGGAAACAAATGTGTCTGTCAGGAGCACAGAATAAAGATTTGTTAAGCAAACAAGTGAGGGCTGCAGGATCTGAAAAACTTTGTTTTTGTGGGCCTCTTTTTCCATAAAACAACGTTAAAAATTATATATTACAGGGCGCCTGGGTGGCTCAGTTGGTTAAGCGACTGCCTTTGGCTCAGGTCATGATCCTGGAGTCCCTGGATCGAGTCCCGCATCAGGCTTCCTGCTCGGCAGGGAGTCTGCTTCTCCCTCTGACCCTCCCCTCTCTCATGTGCTCTCTGTCATTCTCTCTCTCTCAAATAAATAAATAAAATCTTTAAAAAAAAATTATATATTACAACTGAGTTGGCATAAAGACAAATTTAATCCAGACTGGATACATTGTTATATATTCATTATTATTATTTTTTATTCTGATTTTAAACATTAACATGGAAACATTTTCATGGACCCTAGAAATTGTGCCTGCTACGTCCAGTGGTTAATTCAACCCCGGATGTATGTTGTCCTTCCAGCTGGATTGTAAACACTTTGAGGGCAGTGACTATGTCCTAGATTTCACTGTTGCCCTCAAAGCTGTTCAATAAATACTGTTGAGTTGACCTAAGGCATAACTGTTTCTTCCTCCAGGGTGAACCAGGTCCCCCTGGTCCTTATGGTCCTCCAGGAGACCCTGGTATTGGACAGCAAGGAAGTAAGGTAACAATTCTTGTCTTTTTCCTCATTGATGAGTACTGAATTTATTGCAGGGGCTGGGGAAGCTGTGATGTGAATTCTGCTCAGCTTTGCCCTCTAGACACAAGGAGGCTGCCTGTAGAAGGTACTTACAGTCCAGGTGGGTGCTTGGACACTGGGGCACTTACCACAAGAATAATCAATGTATCTTTATTTGATGGAAATGAAAAATATTTCTTGCCTCCAATTGCCAAACTTTTGTAAATGTACATCTAGTTCTGTTGAGTTTTCATGGAATTTAAATGTTAACATGCAAAAATGATATCGGGATGGGAAACATCTTAACATATAAACTATCACCTGTTCACATTAAAGAAGCAGAGAGGGGCAGAAACCAGAAGGACCATAACACTGAATAGGTAAGTGTTGATAGAAAGGTTTGTAGGGAACTAGAAAGTACTGCAACACCCAACACCCTGGAGTGCTCTGCATCATGCAGGATGTCATGGAACAGAAGTGCTTATTTTAAATGGCTTTTCTATGTCATTGGGAAAATAAGACTTTGGTGCAGGACTAAACAAAACAGGAAATTCTGGTGTCATCAAGTATCACCATGGATGGAATTGAAACAATAAGCATACTGAGACTCCAGGGAAGGTGGAGTTTGTATTGGCAGAGTGATTGGACAAAGATTCTGAAGGAGATGAAGGGTGAAACAGAACTGAAAGGAGAGGTAAAATGGAACAGAGTGGGGACAAGGAGAGGGTGGCCTTCCAGAATGGTGGTGAGAGGGGCAGGGAACGGCACAAGCATTGTTAGCTTGGTCCTCTCAATAACCCAAATGAATTGCATGCAGTCCAGCCTGCCAGTTGCTACACACACAATAGCTTCTGAAAGTTAAAAGTGGTGTATTGCACTTACACAAGAAGGGATGATGAGCATTTTAGAGTAATTTGTTCACTGAAATTTAAGCCATTTTTCCTCCTCCAGAATTTTTTTTTTATCTTTATGAATGTGAAAAGCTTGACTATTTTGGAATATATCTTTGTTGAAACCTCCAGAGTATCTTGTGCTATGTTTATTCTTTATTTAAAAACTCAAACTTTCACTTGATTATTTCTTTCTCTTAGGGGGAAAGAGGTCAGGAAGGAAGAACAGGGGCGCCAGGACCGATTGGCATTGGGGAGCCAGGCCAGCCGGTAAGTAGCAAGAAACTCTAGATGGAATAAAAAGGACAAATATAGTTCTTATGTGCCCTTTGTGGTTAGACTAGATGGCTAAACTAAGCCCATGTTGCATCTTTTGGGATAAAAAAGACAATAAATATGCAAGGGCCAGATCCAAGTGTTATTTTTTATAACACTTGAAATAGAGCCCCCCCACCCCCCCACACATGATATGTACAACTGGCTCTCTCTTACTGAAATCTCTTACAAGATTAATCAGCTTGTCCAAGAAGGAAAGAGATCTCATGTGTCAAAATCTCCTAGGAGATAGGAGAACTGGATTCAGGCCTAAGGACTTTCCTGGAACCATGAGAAAATCATTGAGAATAAGGACGTTGCTCATTACCTAGCTTATGAGTATACACTAAAGCTAGGACAGATGAAGGCAGACAGGTAATACCTGTGTTATTTGCAGCTTCTAGCTTATGTAGCTTTAAAGTTTACTATTTTTGCAGAAGAAAAAAAAAAGTGTCTCTATCAAAAGAGATCTGGAGAAGAAATGAATAAAACATGACTATCCTAGTATAGAAATGCTCTTAACTTTTCAAGTAATCATTATTCTCCCAGAAAAGAACAGTAAGTTACTTACTGAGATACATATAAAAATAACTGGGTTGGATCAGAAGAATTAATATTGTTAAAATGTCCATATTACCTGAAGTGATCTACAGATTCTATACAATTCCTATCAAAATTCCAATGGCATTTTTCATGGAAACAGAACAAACAACCTTAAAATTTGTATGGGACCATAAAAGATCCTGAATAGCCAAAGCAATCTTGAGAAAGAAGAACAAAGGTAAGGCGTCACACTTTCTGATTTCTAAATATATTACAAAGCTATAGTAATCAAAACAGTATTGTATAGGCATAAAAACAGACACATAGACCAACGGAACAGAATAGAGAGCCCAGAAATAAACTCACACGTAAATGGTCAATTAATTTACAACAAAGGAGCCAAGTATATATAACAGGGAAAGGACAGTCTTACTTTAATAAATGGTGTTGGGTAGGTGTGCCTGGGTAGCTCAGTCATTAAACGTCTGCCTTCGGCTCAGGTCATGATCCCAGGGTCCTGCGATCGAGCCCCACGTCGGGTTCCCTGCTCCACAGGGAGCCTGCTTCTCCCTCTCCCTTTGCCTCTCCCCCTGCTTGTGCTCTCTCTCACTATCTCTGTCACTATCTGTCTCTCTCTATCAAATAAATAAATAAAATCTTTAAAAAAAATGATGTTGGGTAAATTGGACCACTATCTTATACCATACACAAAAATTAATTCAAAATGGATTTGAGTCTTGAATGTAAGACCTGAAACCATAAAACTCCTAGAAGAAAACATAAGCAGTAAGCTCCTTGACATAGGTCTTAGCAATGATGTTTTGAGTACCCAAAGTAAAAGGAACAAAAGCAAAAATAAGCAAGTTGGGACTACATCAAACTAAAAAGCTTCTGCACATCAAAGGAAACCATCAACAAAATACAAAGGCAATCTACTGAATGGGAGAAAATATTTTCAAATCATATATCTGATAATATCTAAAATATATAAAGAAGTCATACAACTCAATAATAACAAAAAACAGAAGACTCGAATAGATATTTTTGCAAAGAAGATGTACAGATGGCCAACTGGTACATGAAAAGATGCTCAACATCACCAATTACCAGGGAAATGAAAATCAAAATCAAAATGAGGTATCACTTCACACCTGCTAGAATGGCTATTATCAAAAATACAAGAATAACAAGTGTTGAGGATGTGAAGAGAAGGAAACCCTCATGCACTGTTGGTGGAAATGTAATTTGGCATAGCCACTGTGGAAAACAATGTGGAGGTTCCTCAAAAAACTAAAACTACAACTACTATATGATCCAGCCATTCCACTTCTGGGTATTTATTCAAAGAAAATAAAAACACTAACTCGAAAAGATATATGCACCCCCATGGTCAATGCTATTTATAATAGCCAATGTAGGGAAACAGACTAAATGTTCACTGATGGATAAGCGGATAAAGAAATTGAGATATATATATCTATATATAGATATATATATAGATATATATATATATATAATGGATTACTATTGGATATATGTATTGATATATATAATGGATTACTATTCAGTCATAAAAAAGAATGAAGTCTTGCCATTTGCAACAACATGGATGGACTCTGAAAACATTATACTGACTGAAATAAGTCAGAGAAAGGCAAATACCATATGATCTCTCTTATATGTGGAACCTTAAAAACAAAACAAAACAAAAACCAAACCAATCCCATAGATATAAAGAACAGACAAAATCAATTTTATTTCTATATTCTAGTAACAGACACATAGAAATAAAAATTTTAAATATAATAGCGTCTATAGCCGTTAAAAAATAGAAATACTTGGGTAAAAATCTACTAAGACATGTGTAGGACTTGTATCCTGAAAACTACAAAACACCAATGAAAGAAATAAAAGAATATTTAATAAACTGAGAGACACACCATGTTCATGGATTGAAGACTTGATTTCATAAAGCTGTCAATCTGCTTAAATTGATATAAGGTTTAATGCAAGTCTTTTTAAATATTCCAGTGAGATGTTTTTATAGATATGGACAAGATTATTTTAAAATTTGTATGGGAAGTCAAAGGAACTAGAATAGTTAAAAACAATTTGCAAAAAGAAGAATAAAGTTGAAGAAAGGGTTTTATTCACATCACTATAATAATCAAGATTGTGCAGTTCTGGTAGATCATAGAGACATGATCAGTGGAATAGAATAGAGGATCCAGATACAGACCCACACACTGATTTTTTGATAAAGGTGCAAAAACAATTCAATGGAGGAAGGATAACTTTTTCAACAAATGGTGCTGGATCAATTGGATATCCATATACCAAAAACTGAACCTCAAGTAAGTTTCACACACACCTTATAAAAAATTAACTCAAAATGGCTCATAGACTTAAATGTGAAATGTAAAACTATAAAACTTTTGAATAAAACGTAAGAGAGAATCTTTGGTACTATAGCTTGGTGGAAATTTCTTAGACATGTTACAAAAAACATGATCCAAAAAATAAAAAAATTGATTAGTTGGACTCCTGAAAAGTGGAAAATGTTTACTCCATGGCTCCGTTAAAAGGATGAAAAGACAAGCTACTGACCAATAAAAAGTATTTGCAAACCACATATCGGATGAAGGATTTATATTGAGATTGTATAAATAGCTCTCAAAACTCAATATTAAAAAAATCTAATTAGAAAGCACATATGTATCAGAATACATGTGTGTCTTTTTATACACACATGTGTGTATACATATATCTACATGTATATATGCTTATTGAACTTTAAAAAAAAGATTTTGTTTATTTGAGAGAGAGAGAGAGCGGTGGGGGAGAGGCAGAGGGATAAGCAGACTCATGGCTGAGTGCTGAGCCCAATGGGGGGCCAATGCTGCCGATGGGGGGCTTGATGTGGCCCATGAGGGGCTGGATCCCAGGACCTGAGATTATGACCTGAGCCGATCAGACACTTAACCAACTAAGCCACCCAGATGCTCCTGATTATTGAACTTTTAACATGTGTTCTTAGCTAACAAGCTTGAAATGTCATCAGTATCAGCACCTGACCCTAAAAATAATACACTGACCGTAGACTTTTTTTAAAAAAAATTTTTTTTTTTTAA